GTCTGCGCGTCCGGAGCCTGTGCTCCGCAACGGGGGAGGCCACAACAGTGAGAGGCCCGCGTACCGCAGAAAAAAAAAAAAAAAAAAAAAAAAGTACTGCCTGTGAGCCAGTAGTGTATTTTGGGAAATGCTATCAAAGAACAGGGGTGGAGATGGAAAAGAATGAAACAGGAAAGGAGAGAAAATCTTTACCCAAGAGAGTGTTAAAAGCTGTCACTACTGGGGCAACTGGGTCTTGATTATTCTGGGGACCCGCTGAGTAGCCATATAGAATAAGTCTCAGAACTGTCTACCCAAGAGACAGAAAAGGGAAGTATTGATCCACCAGCTCCCATTCCCATCAGTCAGGGATGGCCCCACGTGGTATTAACGTCCCATTTGGTGACAGCAGAGAAGCAGGGTAAAGGTGAGAATATGTATACAACTCAGTTGAGATACTGTCTTGTTACAGCTGCATGCAGTCATTTGCTGCAGCAACAGCTGGAGTAAAAAGGTGAGTGTGAGGTTTCTGCATAATCCATGTGTCTGTATAATCTGATTCCTGTCTAGCTCTCCATATTTTTCTTTGTCTTCTCTACTCCAGTCCCACTGGCTTTCTTTCATACCCTCAAACTCCATACTTCTTTAGGCCATAGGGTCTTCACATGTGGTCTGCATGCTACTCAATCTTACTTCACCTCTTGACTCAGTTTACACCAACTAATATGCATCACTACAGCATCACTAACTTAGGGAAGTCCCTCACCTCGATGACTAGGGGCAAGCTTCTCTGAATGCATGCATTGCATTCTTGCAGTGCTTTGTTGCCATTGTAAATTTGCAAATGTTGTATAATTATTTAATTAATGGCTTTGTTCCCAAGAGATTGTAATTGTCACAAGGGCAAGACCGGTCCACCTTTGTTCCCCATTGCACCTCCAGTATATAGCACAATACCTGACACTTAGCCTGCACTCAATAAATATGGAGTGAGCGATTGAGTGATAGTAAATTCCTGTGGTTATCTCTGAATATAACTTTTCTCTTCCCTACTCTTATTCTCCTTTTCATTCCCCAGGCAATTTGAGTTCAGATTCTAATAACTAGCATCAATTAGAAGTAGGCTGTGAGGGATATTTTTAGGTTTCCACCACCAGGTTGGGAAGACTTCCTGAGTAAGAAAATATTTCAGAGTGGTTTTGAAGTCCTCCACAACCTCCTAAGCATCCTCATCCCGATGGTTGAAATACAATATTTTTCCTAAGCAATGTCCTAACTTTCACATAAAATAGTAGAAGGGGATTCAAACATTATATTAAAATGTAAAAATATTTATTAATATACCACAGAAGGGATACACTGCTTTATAAGAAAGGAAGTTCCAAAAATGGTGGTCCAGCCCACCAAGGGATCATCATCCAATTCCAGTTCCTAGTGTGCTAGGTTGGGAGCATGGCCTCCACACAGGCCTTCTGCAGAGCACTGCACTCCACACCTCACACTTTACTCTCCTGACATGTATTTGGTCAGTAAACCTAAGAGGCTCATTAGCAAGTGAAGGGAAAATAATAGAGACGGGGCATCACAAAGGGCCACAGACAGATACTCCATGGCAGGAGTTTGGGAGTATGTGTTGATGCTAATTATGCTTCTGGAGGACGGGTCAGCACTATGCAGAAGGACACAAACTCTAATGAGACTTTGTAGGTAAAATTTGGGCTCCTGTCATTGACTTTCTTTAAGGTCTCGAGCAAATTATTTTACCTTTCTAAGTCACAGTCTCCTCATCTATAAAATGGGGATAATGATATAACTTATCTCAGAGGGTAATTTAAAGATTCAAGGAGGTAATGCTTGGCACACAAGAAGCATTCGATAAATGTGAGCTATTATTGTCATTGTTGTCTGCTTTCTCTCCTTTGCCAAAATGCAGACCTAAGTATACAGCTTCAAAGAGCGGTCTCCCAAGTACGGCTCTGCTGCCTAACTATCAAATGTCACTGGAGATGAGACTAAGTGACTACAACTTGAGATTCCCTGGAGACATAAAGGAGCCACCAAATTCCTATATTCAAATTCAAAAAGAGATTAAGTCCCACAGTATCCCTGAGGAAAAACGGAGCAGATGGCACCCATGGAGAAGAAGAGGAAATATCTGGAATGTTCTCATAGAAAAATGAACAAGTCTTTGGGGTTACATCTCCAACATTCTGTGCAAAGCAGCTGCCTTTTACTATTTCTTCTGGAATCACTTTGTTTTAAAAGTGGGTAAAATAAATGTTTCAGAGCCACAGCCCTTCCCTCCTGCCGCTCCTGCAGACTTTCCCACAAGCGCTGAATATTCATTTAGAGAAAGGAAGGCGAAAGAGAAAAGGGAAACCCAACTACAAATGGCAGTAAGAAAAGCTGATGAAGCAAGGAAAACCACTAGAGACAGGATTTTAAAAAAAAAAAAAAAGGACAAGACAAGCTGCATTGTACAAGGGCTCCCAAGAAGAAGAATTAAATAATTTTTTCTTTATTTTAATTCAGTGTGTGTGGGAGCATCCCAGAAGCTTCTGCATAATCAGAAAATAAGTATTCTAGATTGCATGATGTTCATGTCTAATTAATTGCTGCCTCTGCCTCAGAAGTGAGCAGCTTCCACCTTATTCTTTACAGTTAGTTCTATTAATCTTATCTAACAGGTGTTTGCCTGGTAAAGGGTAGGTTGCTTAGCCCTCATGCCAGTCTGCATTCTGGGATGTACGTAAGAGAATATCTCAAACTCTTTGAGTTTGTGAAAACTACACTTTATATTTTTTCACTTCTCTCAACTCTTGCTGAAGATTTAGGGAGCAGCCTAGATGTGATAAAACAGACTTGTGTTAAGTGCCGTGACCAGATTTTGCTTCAAGGAGTTTGAAAACATGGAAACCCATATACTCCTGTGTATTCACTTCCTATTGCTGCTGTAAGAAATTACCACAAAATTAGTGGCTTAAAACAACATAAACATAAACTGTTCTGGAGTTCAGAAGCCTAAAATCAAGGTGCAGGCCTCAGGGCGAAATCTGTGTCCTTGCCTTTTCCAGCTTCCAGAGGCCACCTGCATTCCTTGGCTTGTGGACCCCTTCCCCCACCTTTAAAGCGCATCTCTCCAACCTCTGGTTCCACTGTCACAGCTAGTTTTTCCGACTGACTCTTGTCTCCCATTTATAAGCATGTGTGATTTTGTTAGGCTCACTGCATAATCCAAGATATTTTTCCTATCCCCAGATCTTTAACTTAATCACATTGGTAAAGTCCATTTTACTATGCAAGGTAACATATTCACAGTTTCCAGGGATTAGAACATGGACGTTTTTGAGGGGTTATTATTCTGTCTACCACATCATGTATCACAAGCATCTCTCTACCAACTGCAGGCAGGTTTCATTTCATTTATTATTGCATACATAGCATGTTCCTGTAAATGTGTATGAAATGTGCATGTCTGAAAATCAAGTATTTAATAACACGTAACTGGAAAGGGACGGGTTTATCTGGTCCCTAAAAGCCTAAAAAATAAAATAGAATCCTTACTTATATCATACGTTTTGGACTTGGTCTTCAGTGATGTCTGTCTAGCATTATATACATTTTCCTTACTTTTTCCCACAATTGAAATCACAGATGAGTGGCTTAAGTCAGATGAGTATCTGAAGCTGAGGACATCTAATGATATCTGTATTTGTTTAAATTAGCTTCATAAGACTAATGCTAACTTTCCATTTTCCATTTATCTTACAAAAAAATAAGTACACAGCAAAAAATTATTTCAAATAATTTCCCAAAGACCACATTACTACTGAAACTGAACTGTTGTCTGACAGACAGAAGCACTATAACATATTTTAAAATGTCTGTCCGTCAAGGATGAACCAAAGTCCAAAATCAGTTTATGAAGTGCACATGAGGAATGTCAATTCTAATGAGATAAAATTAAAGGCTTTTCAAAATATAAATTGAATTTGTATAGAAATAAGAGACCTGAAGTAGGTTTTTTGTTTTTGTTTGGTTTGGTTTCCCTTTATTGAACAGAAAGCCATATGAAACATTATTTCTTTTATCTGCTAAAATACCACTAATCTTGGACTGGGGTCATTCATACAGTCATCTGAAAACAACAAACCTAAAATAGTATTTCCTTTCATGCTTAAGGGGCAATTATTTGACAAAAATTAACATTATTGAAATGAGTATTAGTGTATGCTCCCAAAAGAATCTTTTCTTTTTTTTATGGAAAAAAGGTAACACTGGGGCTTTCCTGGTGGTGCAGTGGTTGAGAGTCTGCCTGCCGATGCAGGGGACAAGTGTTCGTGCCCCAGTCCGGGAGGATCCCACATGTGGCAGAGTGGCTGGGCCCGTGAGCCATGGCCACTGAGCCTGCGCGTCCGGAGCCTGTGCTCCACAACGGGAGAGGCATGCGTACCGCAAAAAAAAAAAAAAAAAAAAAAAGGTAACTCTAACTGGAGTTCCACTTATATATTTACTTGGGTTGTATCTAAATCTGGGTGTTTTATTATAACACAGATAGATAGTAAATATTTCCTCAGACCATTTTAAAATATCCTTCCTTTACATGCAACTGTAAAAGGGGTGTAAAGGTACTACTTACCTGAATGGATGCATGTGAGGACTATAAGATATAATATATATGAAATTCACAGCCAGCATATGGTGAACAGTCAATAAGTCTCAGCTATTTTCATTAATAAGCAATAAAAAACAGGCCACGCTTATAGAAGAAATAGTGACCCTGCTCTTTTTTAATCCATTAACTGTTATGCACTTCTGTTGTGACATTACCTGCCCCACCATTGTTTCCCAGCAGGGTCCTCGAGGTACATCTGCAGGGTGCACAAAAAAGGGTGGCCCAGTGGTATTTCCAGTGAGTGATGCATTGTAGGCCTTGATCATGTTAGCTTCCCATAGAGTAATATTGGCCTTTACTAGCTTCTCCTCTTCAATCTAGAAAACAGAGGAATGGAAACAAAAATGAAGACAACAGAGATTTCAAAGGCATTTCTGGCAATCTTGAGATTGGGAATCTAACAACATGCTGATGGCAAGGATAATCCAGACACAAGATTTACCTTGTTGTTAATCTCATCCATCAAGGCAAGAATAAATACATACAAGTTGCCTAAAAGAAGAGCAAAAATGCGTCCGAGGAGCCATTTCAGAGCGATGAGGGGATGGTAGTCTTCCAATTCAGCAAATAAGTCAAACAATGTTGGACAGAACATCCCCAGGAGGGACATGACCATGTTCATCTACAAGAAGACACAAGGGGTGAACCAAATTAACGGTGTTTAAAAATTATTGCTTTCCTCCAAATTTGCAAGATTCCAGCTAGATTCCTTTGATATTTTATAAGACTAAAATTATTTCATGCATTTTTAAAATTTGATCTTATTAAAACAACAGAGACAATATTCAACTCATATTTTCAAGATGTACATGTGCGTGAGCTTGTGGACGTGCCAGTAATAATAGTGTTTCCTAGTATAATGAGGGGTGCGATTTACATTACTTTCTATGCAGAGAACATTTACTGTTATACATGGTAACTGATTCTGCACTTCACAACAAGATTTCCAAAGGAAATGGAAAATGATCTGCTTGAGGAATGAGGTCCAAATTGGAAATACTAATTTGGCAATCATCAGCACATGGGCTAGTTTAATCAGTTAGAATGGATGAATTCCTTGAGATGGGCCCAGGACTAAATACCGAGTTTGTGGGAATGCAAACTATAAGGGGCAAAAAAAAAGAAAGAAAATGGAATCGACTTTATCAAAGAAAACAGAGAGAACGTTCAGAAAAAACAAAAGCATACATAGCATAATGTCATCAAAGCCAAGGCAGAAAAGTTTCAAAAATGAAGAACTGGCTTATAATGCCAAAGGTAAGAGAATTATGAAAGAGAGAGAGAGAGAGAGAGAGAATGAAAATATGACAAGCTGGAAATTTGTGGCCCTTATCTCCAGATTGATTGGCACACTTATGATTATATTATTAGGCTAAATTAAGTCAAGGAAAAGAATACAGAGAATGTACTACTTTTATAATGGGGGAAAAATACCTTTAAATAAAGTTTTAAAAAAGGTTCCAGGGCTTCCCTGGTGGCGCAGTGGTTGAGAGTCCACCTGCCGATGCAGGGGACATGGGTTCGTGCCCCGGTCTGGGAACATCCCACACGCCGCGGAGCGGCTGGGCCCATGAGCCATGGCCGCTGAGCCTGCACGTCCGGAGCCTGTGCTCCGCAACGGGAGAGGCCACAGCGGTGAGAGGCCCGCGTACCACAAAAAAAAAAGGTTCCAGGTGACTCTGGCAATGTCTTTACCTGAATACCTGGCTCAAACTGTCACTGTTTAACATTTCCCATTTCCCCCTGGTAGACTCCATGTTTTGAATGATTAGAACTACCGAAGTATATTGAGAAAATAATTGTCAATATGTTTTTCCCTTTTGACTAAGAACATTGTATAAGTATGACCAGCAGGAGCTAAAAGTCAGCATGACATAATATAAAATCAGCATGATATAATTTCAGCCTAAAGTAAAAACTTGGCAGAGCTATGCAATCTTATATAAGGTAAATTTAAATTCTGTTTCATCAAATTTGTAAAGTTTTTCACGAATCCCCATTATTAGCTTTGTTGGCCCCTAGGAATCAGGGGTCCCCTAAGATGGATGTTAAACATGTACTTACAAAGAGTGACCCTTTTGATGATAATCAATTATCCCTCCTTTTCTGTGGTTTATTAATACAAAAATATGATCAGTACAAACCATGGACCAAAGTGGCATGATAATTTTGCCTATAAATGCTATCATAACTGCAAGGATAATTTTGAAAGCAAACTTAGTAATGCTTTGAGGTTCCCCTTTGTTGTAAATAAGTAAAATAACTCCACCTAATGACTCTCTGTTTTACAGGCTTCCAAGAAATGTCTATGTCATCATAGGCTCTTAAATATATGGTCTCCCATCTTCAGTGTTACTGCTTCTGAAATACCTAGAATGTTTTTGTTTGGAGCCTTTTGTTGTAAGTAGGTTATACCATTTTCTGTGCAAGATTCTTCTAGGAAATTCTATGCTTATGAAGACTTTCACAATCAGGTTGGTCTACAAGACTCTGCAGAAGTTTCAGTGTGGGAAATCTACACTCTTCCCACCGCCTAAGTCTCCACACACTGAAAATGCCCAAGTTCAAAATGATGCCACGTTGTATTCTAGAACATTTTACGAAAGGGAACAGACCCAAGAAACAACACATGACCAGTGATTTCCTGATTCTAAATATCTACCTCTGACCTCTTTTCTTGGACCTGCTAAATGGGCAGATACCCTGAAGACAAATCGCAATCATAATATTTAATTCCTGTCAAAGAGCTGGCCTTCCTCATTTGAATAGCATTTGGAGGGGGAGATAATAGGGTAAGGAGAGGAGGTGAAGCAGTTAGGCTGCTAGGGAAAAACAGAGAGAGGCCCAGTCCTGCCCAAAGTAGGGGAGGCAATCTGAATGTTTCCAGTGAAATAAACATAAGAACCCAGGGCTTTATCATTGCTGCTTCAAAGAATTCAGGGGACAATTGGATCTTTCAAAGATAGATGCAGGACCTGCAGAGAAAGCAACATAGGGTCATGGAGAGAGTGCTGAGCTTGAAATCAAGATTCCTAAATTTTAACTCTCATTGTTCTCCATGGTTCTGAGACCATGAACACATCACCTAATCTGAGATTCATTATCTCTGTCTATAAAATGTACTGGTTGGAATATGTGCTCTAATCTCTCTTCCAACTCTACCTTTCCCTAATGTCACAAAGTGAAAATCATACAGTAGACAGATTTGGAAGTAAGGCTGGAATAGGGACATGTGTGCCGAGGTTGGTTCACTCTCAGGTCAGGATGACAGAGATAGGTAAAGAGCGGCCATATTTCATATCCCAACATTGAAGCACAACCCACAAAATCTCAAATGTCAGATTCTAAGCACATAAAAAGCATGCAGAGACGAACTTCATTTTTTTCCCACCACCCAAGGGTGTCAGGATCTTGCTGCGCAAATTCCTGGGATCGCTTCACAGCCCAAAAGATGAGGTATCCACTCCCGCCAAGTGTTAGAAACACGAAGAAGTTAGCAAGAAACCTCAGGAATCTGATCAAGTGGACGTTTTCTTCTGCTTGGGCTGCTCTTTCTTCTATTATAGCTTCCTGTACCCAGGCAAAACAGAAAGGAAAAAGAAATATCTGAGCTACAAAAAGTATCATGAACTCAGGAATTATTTCTGCAAACACCAGAAAGTGAGGAATGAAAATATAAACTGAGTCTGGGATTCCACAAACCAGGTGAATATTGCCAGCAAGTGAGAAAAAGTAAGAGAGAGAAGGAAGAATTCTTACAGACAAACTCTGGTTGAGTTAATATTTACTAAGATAGTCTTCATTCTAAAGTCTCTTCTAGTACAGTTTTTTAAAACAACTACAAAATAATACTTCAGAGTCATTTAAAATATTGGGCTAATGTATTCCTGTAAATAATTAGCGAGCATTGTTCTATTATTTAAAATATCTGATTCTGATTACTAATGGTTGGCTGTTTCAAGCCAATGGCATTGTTTTATTACCAAATTTAGAGAGAAGTAATGCTGTCATGGGTCATCAATCATTTTCCAGTCATAATCAGAACCCTGCCCAGATCCTGGTAGGAAGAAATGATGAGTTAATCTTTCTTTTAATTGTCAAGATACTTTGCTACCTAGACCATTTGGAATGGCTCCAATTTTACTCTTAGAAATATCAAGAAAAGGCTCTTGAAGTTGGTGTTTTTACCTTAAAGTTCATTGTGATAGAATTGAATTTGTTGTCTGCTGTTTCAGGATTGCCAATCAGGTAGTCCCAGCTGGTGAACACCTTCCAGCTGAAGTTGAAGGTGTTGTCGTCACCACCTCCGTCATCACCAATATTTTTGGTCATCCTATACAAACAGGAAGTTTAATCCAGCAGCCAGAATACAAGCAGAAAGGGAGAGGTTAGGGAATAGGAAAACATCATAATTATAAGGAAATTGGAGAAGCAATATCTAAAAGACATATACTTTCAAACAAGTTTGTTCTAATAACCAGAAAATAAAAGTTGATTAAAAAAATTTTTTTTGTTTTAATTTTTTAAGCTGTTCATTTTCCAGGCCTTCAAGATTAAAAGACTACTAACCATTGATGATTTTAACAATTAAACAGGTTATATAAAATTATGTATTTTTTATTTGTTTTCCTAAACTGTTTTCCTAGGGTCATATACAAGGCTCTGAAACTTCTGTGGGATAAGGATCTCTTTAGAAATCCGGTGAAAAGCACCAGGCCCCTCATCAGGAAAAACATATGTATAGACTCTTAAACTGTTGTACACAATTTTAGTTGGTTTCCAGACCCTGTGAAGCCTAGGGATGGATTAACCCAGGTCAGATCAGGAAACTCCTTCACAGATTTCAATTCCCCTTAGAATCTCCTTCCAAAGAGTGATTACACTGAATGCATGGAATTTTTCCATACTTGACAACTCTTAACCAAAAATCAAGATTTTTATACAACTTTAATAGCAAGTGGTTACATATATTCTAATCAGTGATGTTTTAATTTTTTTTTTTTTTTTTTTTTTGCTTGGACAGTTTAAAGTACATTTACTTACTTCAGTGGTTAAGGATCTATATTCCACTTACTCCACTTCCTTTTTTTCCCCTACCACTATAAAGTGCAAAATTAAAATATTATATGATATATATTATAAAATGGTCCCATAAGGTTTTAGTTTTTTAAATATTGCAGTGATATGGAACTGAAAAAAGAAAGGAGTACAATGACATAAAGCTGACAATGTAGTTTGGCAGGTATCTCTAAGGTCATCTAAATTCCCCCACTGTTTAGTCCTATTCCTTACAGAGGTTTATATATTTCAGATGGGCTAATGTGTTTGAAAAATAACCAAAAATAATCATTCCTTACATCAATCTACCACTTTACCCTTTGCAAATGGTATTGATGTGTATTATCATATTTGTCCTTCTCAAACACTTAACAAGAGGTCACAGTAGTTAATATTATTCTCTTTTTACAGTTGGGGAAGCTGAAGGATAAAATTATCAAGTGATTTGCCGGCCATTATACAGAAGTAAACCACAGGGGTGGGTCAAGGGCTTAGGTTTTCCGACTTCATTCTGGTACCCAAGCTAGGACACCATGAAATATGTTGAACCATACAAAGTGCCCTTTTGCAGGTCAAAAAGGATTGAAATCAAACATTTCCAATGGATTAACTTAGGGAGAAAATGACTTTTTTGATTAAGATGCCATCACCCCTTTTTGCACTGTCACTGAGCAAAGGGCAGGGCCTCAAGTAAAACTGACCACTTGACAGACACGTCTTGAATGGAGCTTTATCACAGGCAAGATTCTGTAGCTGTAGACAGCCTTCCAGAGAAGGGAGCTCTAGCCGGACAAGCAAACAGGGAACATCTAGCATGTGGGAATTGACAAGAAAGGGAGTGAAATACTAAAAGGGAGTGACAAGAAAGGGAGGAAGGATATTGAAGACAACCTCTGCTAACAACACATTTTTACTAAGAGATGGCCCTGATAGCTATAAAATATTTCATGTACAGCTCCATTCCTTGTCTGTAGAGAAAAAAAGTGTACATACTTAAACAAAAATTCCTCCTTTTTCAAGGGGGTTACATTTTTGAACAACTATATCTTTGAGAAGCTACCTCAACGTATAATTTGCAAGGAATGATGGAAGTCTTGCTTTGCCAGGGACTGAGTAGGTTTCCAGGGCACAAGACTCAATGCTAAAGCCAGGAGAGTCCTGGGTCAACAAAGTTAGTCACCCTATCTTAAAATCTAAAAGTGCTTTCTTGGATATCTAACTAATTTTCCTTCCAACTTCCCTATGAATTAATCAAATATAGATATTTGCTTCCCTTTTATGGATGAGGATGCTGAAGACAAAGAATATGGGCAAGAAGGCAAAGTCCACAAGTTGCCTAGTTGATTTCAGTATTCAGTTTTAGTTTCCCTTGATTTGAGTCGTGAATCCCATAAAGCCACTCATGTTTATTCCAAGAATGTATTTGTTTGGGGCCAGTGGTGGGGCAAAGAGATGATATAGGATTCTGAACAATCATCTATATCTCATCAGTTGTTCTACCAAGCCTTGCCCCCAGGGCTAGGAGTGGGGTAGGAGTCATAAATTGCTTTGGAATTGTCCTGCCATATAGGCCAGGGAGCTTAAACTACTTGCCAATCTGGTAATGAACAACCAAAGGTCCCCTGCCAGAGGGAGGGACCAAAATCAGGCTGGTTTGGGTGGCATAACATGGATGACTTTGAGGGGGAAAATGTAGAATTTGTGCCCTACAGTTATCCTAAATGGCATCTTTGAGCTAATAGGAAAAGCTGCCATTTCCTGTAGAGCTGCAGTAGCTAATAAGTTTGCCACTAGCAATATGTGGTTACTGAGCACTTGAAATGCAACTAGTGTGAAACATACATAAGATTTCAAAGACTTAGTACCGAAAAAGACAGAGAATATCTCAATAATAATTTTAGATTGATTATATGTTGAAGGAATACTTTTGATATGCTGAGTTAAATAAAATATATTATTAAAATACATTCTACCTATGTATTTGTTTAATATAGTTACTAGAATATTTTAAATTATATGTATCTTGTCTTATAGTTCTTTGCATAATGCTGTTCTAGATGCTTTACACTCATCTGCCAGAAAATTATTATAATAAATGTGCAAATCTATTAATGTATAACTACATAACCATATGTGACTACCCTACTGCTGGGGCTATCATATGACCTCAATTCCTACCATGTTGGCTTTGTTTGGTTTTTCAATAACCCTATGAATTATAATCCTAATAAAACAGTTAACATTTGTCAATCACCGTATGCCAGCTACGTTCTAAGTGTTTGTATGTACTGACTCATTTGGTCCTCATAGCCATCCTAACATCAAGGTGTTATTACACCTCTATTAGAAACAGGAAAATGGAGCAGTTGAACAATTTGTCAAAGTTCTTTTAGAATGGGCTAGAGCTGGTATTTGATTCCATGAAGAATGGCTCAAGAGCCCACTAGGGTATGTAGCCTTTGCACAGTCACTAAAAGAAGCTGAGGACTTGGACATCCCTAGACATGCTTTCTTCAGTGACTATGGAGACTAAAGGACCAATATGGAAACGATACTCACAAGGCCTCTGTAATGTAACTGTACCCTTGACTTTAGTCCTGCCAAATCAAAATGGCCAAAAGACTAGAAAAATCTTAGATTTTTTGGAATGTGGTAGTACTTGATCAGATAGACAGATACGTTACATACTTAGGGTCTCTGATTACACTTGGACAACTAGATAAAGAATTTGGATATGGGATCTCCATTAAGGCCTTTTTCAAGTCCTGAAAGGGCTTAAAAACTAAGCATAATAGTTTTCTCCAGAGGAACCAATAAGTTTGGCAGGGACAGGACACAAAGCATGCCAAAGACTGTTCCAGAAAGCTCCTGCTCAAGAGGACTTGGACCCTCAGGTAGAGGTCCTTCCCTGCAATTAAGCAAAAGGCCAATTTACCTTGCGCATAGTTAAATAAAACGGTGAAGACTTTAATTGAGATGTTTCAACACCTGCTAAACTGGTTCAGAAAATTAGCTAAAGGATGGATTATTCATATTATTTATAGCCCTAAATGACTGTGCTAGGTTTCTGCAGTGTCTTCAAGTGAGGTTTTAAAAATATATTTCAGACAGGGAGAAAAAATGAGCTGCAGTTTCATCATTTCCCCAATGAAATTCTTTTCCATGCTCTAATAAATCCTCTTCAAAAATAAAACATGACTATATAGTTGATCATGACCGTCTCATTGAGGGCCATTTGTTTTTGCTGTCTTACACAGCTGAAATTTTTCGGATGAGTGATTATTCTGGGTTTGTTTGTTTGTTTGTTTTAATGAACAGAGAACAACAGATTCTGTCTATTGAGCTGATTCTGCAAGTCACAAACCTCTCTGTATGCAAAAAGAGGGGTCAGCAGCTGTTTCCCTGTCTTGTTTGAAACATTGATTCATACCTTAAAGTACAAAAAAGCACAATTTTAAAATATGCCTAACCACAGGAGAGGCATGCAAACATCACTGTGACCCAGTGAGATGATCAAAGTCCTGCACTTGTGTTCAACCCTTTTGTTTGGGAGATGTAATAGTCTAACATTAGTGTAGGTATTAAAACCACATTTTATCTCTTAAATACTCTGCATTCTCTAGACATGAAACAGAAAAAAAAAAACTCCAATTCTCAAATTAATTTTTCCATTTGATTCCAGAAATCATTGCTTACTTCCCAAGAGACCAATGAAACTTACTCTTTAAGGACAACCAGAAAGCTGTATCCAATGCACATGATCCCCACCAGAAAATAGGATAGTGGCATTCTGAAATTCATCCATCCAATTGTTCGTTTATTGTCGTAATAGCCATAAAAGAGGACGGAATATTGAGCCAATCCCTAAAATCCAACAACAAAGTCACTTAACAGATGCTGTGAAGAGCAACTCAAAGAAAAAAGATCGACTTCTAAGAGGAATAACAAAATGACATTAATTTTCAAACTTGGGAGATGGCTCTGACGTGAGCCCTATTGTTTTAATTCATGGAGTGACTGCTTCAGCTTCCACATTGATTGACAGCCTCTTGGTTTACGTGAAATTCAGGGACTTCTAAATAGGCCAAATTTTTAACCAACTATAGGCTTGCTCAGCTGTGGAGCCATTACTGTGAAATGCCCACTGACTGAAACATCAAAACACACTTCATGGTGTCATTAAATTTACAATTTTAAGAGCCTGCTTAATATTGGGGGGAGGACCTGAAACGTGCTTCCTCAAAGTGTCATGGCAGGTTTCCACTTCCAGTCACCTGAGCCACAGTTAGATTGGTTCTTCATAAGCCACAGAGGCCACATCTCAGCTCACACTTAGCAAAAACAAGGAGCAGGTGAGATGACATTGGAACCGATATGCACAACCTTCCGTTCATCAAGACTATTATCCCCTAACAAGCACGTTTATTCATGAAATTATATGCTGTTTCCCAAAAATTATCTGCCAGGGTTGGAATCACCATCTTCCAAAGCCACCTGAGTAACTGCTCTCTATACACAGAACATGGCATATTTTGATGTTGCTTCCCTTATAATAGTCTTCATCTTTCTCTCCTTCTCTCATTCACTGTTCTTCACTCTTAGCTTGGCAGCATTGTTTCTATATTATTATACATCCACTTCCCCAGCTTCTCTCTGACTTCATCTCTCTGACAATAACTTAAAACGACTATGCTTTGTGAAGTGAGAAGATAATTGCAGTAATAATATCAATCAATAAATTTTTTTGAGCCGGTAGCATGTGCTGAACACCTTACTTCTTCTTACAGAATCCTCACAAGAACCCTCTTGAAATGGCTACCATTAGGGGCAATCGTTTTCCTCTACACTTGTTACTTGCCACCTAGAGAAGAACCGTAACTGTAAAACTCCCAGCCCCTCTCCACTGCCTCATACTAGCCCCAGGGAGGAGAAACTCATCTGACAGTAGAGCATGGGTGAGGAAGGGGGATGATGTGGGGCACCACTCTTCCTCCTCCTTTGAGATCCCATGCTGTGCTCTGCCCCTGTGAGGGGCATCCTGTCCTGGTCTAGGACTGCTGGGTAGGAAGGTCTGCCTCTGAAGCCCACTTGCCCATAAAAAGATGCCACATTCTTTAATATCAGCGTTAACAATAATAAAGATGGCATGTTGACCTCCATCTGTCTAACCCTTTGTCTTATTTCTGGTTAGCTCACAACCTGCATCGACAAGGTAGGGGGTGTTATTTACCATCACTTCCCCACCCGAAAAAGACTCAATAGCTCTACACCTATTATACAGAGGAAGAAACTGAGCTTTAAAGAAGTTAAGTAACTTGTCCATGTTCACATAGCTAGTATGTGACAGAGTCTGAACCTGAACAGGGTCTGTCTAATTCAAATCCATATGCTTAACCACTGTGCTATACCGCTTCTCCTATGCTTTCTTTGCCTACCAGGACTTGCATCATACTAATGCCATATCTACCCAGCAAAACAAAGAAACAAGAAGTCCCTAGACCCCTGGATTGGTTCAGAGTGGGTGCCAGGACCTCCTGGAAAGGATCTAGACACCCCTTTTGAAAAGATTTCATAAGGCATCATCTTCACATACATAAACATTACAACCTGACTTCTTCTTCTAATTCATAATGACAGTATTGGGATTAAAAGCCACCTCCAAAATAACATGAAAGGAGAAAGTAGATATGTAACAAGCATCTGGTGAGCTTGTTAGGTTAGCACAGTAGCTTCTGGGGTAGCTAATTCACCTGGTGTATGTGTCATTCAGCCTATGTTCAATGGCTGCACTTAATAAATATTAGATCACAACCAATGTGGGTAAGAGCCCTTTTATTGGAATCCTGATTACTTCGCAAAGGTTTCTTCAGCTGGTCTATCTCTACATATGCAGTGAAGCATGTAAACAAAAGAGGAGGTACTGTTGAAGTGCACAATTTTTAAAAGCCTCATCCAATCCATCTCAGTAGCATATTGAGGGGTGGTTTTAAACACACTGAAAGGCTTAAAAGAGGTCTCCCCCTCCCCTTCCACCCTGTGGCCCACCACACGCCACACATCTTTCCCTTTCCCTTAAAACTCCAATAGCAGACATCTGGAAGTGACTAAAATAGCAACGACTCCTAGCCTAGCCAAGGTTCCATTCGGTTTCCATGTCAGCGCACATGGCTTTCCCTGTGGGAGCACTCTCCCATCCCAAAATCTGTGACAGAGAAACCACAGTCAGAGCCAGGTTTCAAATGAGCACAGAAAATTCCTGTCCCACCCTAGGTTCCATGCTTGCACATTGTCTACCAAGACTCTAATTTCTGTTTGAATGCTGCAGCTGGTCTAGTCCACAGAGATCGACACACATCTATGAGAATACTTTGATGATGCAGTCGCTAGGAATCAACTCATGTATTTATTTATCTAACTAACTTTTATCGAGAACTTATTTGCCAAATACTATACATAGATGGAGTGGGAGACTGGATTACAGAGGGCCCTAGAAAAAGTTCTGCATGCAAATGTCCCCTTTATAAGTATGTGTCACCTGAAATTATATTAGAGTTCCACCCCTTTGGTGTTCCTCACTGCAAATAAATACTCACTGTGAAAGACAACATTCTATCCCCATGATGCTAAATGAGTTTCATCATCCTTAGTAAGTCTTTTTAGTTTGTAGTAACTGTCAGACCATTATTTTGAAAAAAAATCGTGAAGTCAGAACTAGTAGGAAAGGAAGCTATAACTTGTGAACTGTGCCTGCTGAGGGTATGTGAAAGGGAAGTAGTACCACACTAGTAGGAGTATATTTCTACTTTTCTCTGAACTGTTATCAGTTATTTATACCTTAGTGTTAAAGAAAGCTTCAAGTATGGATGAAAGATAGGGAATGACATCATTTAAATTCTGATATGCTCGGGACATGGGAGAGAAGCAAGGAGTGAAATGGCTAACAACACCCAAAACAAACCTCGACCACCTTTATAAGAATAGCAGCCAGCCTGGCACTTATGTGGTACATGCTGAGGACCAGCCCCGGGCCACCCTCCTTCTCTCCAACCAGACTTGCCAAGTTCCATCTAATGCTTTGCTCGCCTCTGAGTTTCTTTTCCTTTTGCTCCAACCCAGATCTAGAGTTATAAAACTGATGTTATACGGTTCTAAGCTAGGAAGCATGTAGATTACAATGAAGCTGGGCTGAGCCTTCACAGATCCTCTCATTTTCAGTAGAGGGATGAACTTCTACCTGTCTATGGGACTCTAGGCAGTGAACTCTGGCCTTCAAAAAGCTGTGAAGTAGATAGTTTTTTTTGGTGCCCATCCATGCATAAAAGGCTCAGAGTGGTTGTCACACAGGTAGGATGTGGTAGGATTCAAATCCAAGTCTGTCTAAATCCCATGACTGAGTTCTTTTCATTATGCCACACTGCCTTTTTAACCATGCTGGCTTCTGTAAAGAAAACTTCTGTTTGCCTTTTGTGCCATGATCCACAACTGACACTAATGGTGGGAATTCTAGATCATATGCCCAATACCCGTTACACATCTCACTCCACTTGGAGGTTCCACAAGAACCTTGAAATCAGTACATTTTAAAAGTTCTCCCAGAGAAGCAAGAAGAACTATAATCCTGCAGCCTGTGTAACAAAAACCACATTCACAGAAAGACAGACAAAATGAAAAGGCAGAGGGCTATGGACCAGACGAAGGAACAAGACAAAACTCCAGAAAAACAACTAAATGAAATGGAGATAGGCAATCTTCCAGAAAAACAATTCAGAATAATGATAGTGAAGATGATCCAGGACCTCGGAAAAACAATGGAGGCAAAGATCAAGAAGATGCAAGAAATGTTTAGCAAAGACGTGGAAGAATTAAAGAACAAACAAACAGAGATAAGCAATACAATAACTGAAATGAAAAATACACTAGAAGGAATCAATAGCAGAATAACTGAGGCAGAAGAATGGATAAGTGACCTGGAAGACAAAATCGTGGAATTCACTGCTGTGGAACAGAATAAAGAAAAAAGAAAGAAAAGAAATGAAGAAAGCTTAAGAGACCTCTGGGACAACATTAAACACAACAACATTTGCATTATAGGGGTCCCAGAAGGAGAAGAGAGAGAGAAAGGACCTGAGAAAATATCTGAAGAGATTATAGTCAAAAACTTCCCTAACATGGGAAAGGAAATAGCCATCCAAGTCCAGGAAGCACAGAGAGTCCCATACAGGATAAATCCAAGGAGAAACATACCGAGACACATAGCAATCAAATTGGCAAAAATTAAAGACAAAGAAAAATTATTGAAAGCACCAAGGGAAAAATGACAAATAACATACACGGGAACTCCAATAAGGTTAACAGCTGATTTCTTAGCAGAAACTCTACAAGCCAGAAGGGAGTGGCATGATATACTTAAAGTGATGAAACGGAAGAAACTACAACCAAGATTACTCTACCCAGCAAGCATCTCATTCAGATTTGATGGAGAAATCAAAAGCTTAACAGACAGGCAAAAGCTAAGAGAATTCAGCACCACCAAACCAGCTCTACAACAAATGCTTAAGGAACTTCTCTAAGTGGGAGACACAAGAAAAGAAAAGGGCCTACAAAAACAAACCCAAAACAATTAAGAAAATGGTAATAAGAACATACATATCAATAATTACCTTAAACGTCAATGGATTAAATGCTCCAACTAAAAGACACAGGCTTGCTGAATGGATAAAAAAACAAGACCCATATATATGCTGTCTACAAGAGACCCACATCAGACCTAGGGACACATACAGACTGAAAGTGAGGGGATGGAAAAAGATATTCCATGCAAATGGAAATTCAAAGAAAGCTGGAGTAGCAATACTCATATCAGA